CGACCGGACCTCCACAATATCAACAAGAAGAACATGATGATTCGATTCCACTTACTCCTTCAACTTCAACTTCAACACTTTCCCAATTTCTTTTCCCAGGCTTAATCCTTCAAAACGATTCCACCATGATCACTTGGCCCTCTTTCTTAGCTCCTTACGTGACCAATCAGACAGTTATGGCATCTGACGCAAAAAACGATGATGTGCGTGCTTTTTCATTCATCTTTTTCACTACTAGTACTATACGGGTTAACTGATAGTAATACTAATAGACATCTCACTCTCACCTATCATTTTCCTCATTTCCCGATTCCTATCTTCCTCATTCCTTATTTTCACTCGTATTCCCTTCATATTTTCTCTTTTGAAAGTCTGACTCCGTGATTATGTCACCAATTTCCCGTCAAATAAGTTCTTCTCGGCTTCCAGCATCATCGCCTCCACGTACATCTGCTGTTCCACGTCGAAGCAATCAAACTACACCAGTCCGTGTCCCATCTCGTTCAATGGTTCCAACTCCCTCGGACTCTCAAAGATCAGTCCAGTCCACCTGTACACTTAAGTATGTACCCTATACCATAGGGTCATACGTACATCTGTATGGCCCAATGGCATTCGAGTTCAACTGCCAAGATGAACCTTCATCTCAAGAAGCTTCTTGGAGGCATCCAATTTTGGCTAAGTCCCCTTTTTGCTTAAGGAAACAAAGACCAGCCTCGAATCCCCACAAGATACAGTCCACCACCCTTCGACTTTTCCCCACCACCTCAACAAATACCCACCACCACATCCAATCCCTTACATTGTTTTACACTAGCATACCCCCCTGTCTTTGAAATCCACCAGGCTATTAATGAAACCTCACCACCATATTGAAAGTCCACCACCACCACCCCCATCAAAGGTTTTCCACCCACTTGTCTTTAAATTTCACCAGCCAACACTTACACGTAAACGTCACCACCCTCCTAGACTCTGAAAACCCACCACCTCGCCTCGAAAAACCAACACACCTCACCCCGCACCCTGTATTCACGCACAAAGCAAAATTACCACCTCATCCCCTCACCACACCCTCTCCAAAATCACACCCCCCAAACCGTTTACACACCCCATCACCTCCAAACCGCAGAATGTAACTCTAACTCTCATAACCCACTATTCAACCCGGCTCCTCAGCATCAATTGGAAACTCTTTGCCTTGTCTTTCATTCAATGATTC